ATTAAATGCGGGCAATATAGATAGTTGATCTCATGCCTATTATACCGGTTTGGTATATTTTTTTCTCAAGTTTTTCTGCAAGGCAAGCACGGCTCAATAATTGACATGTCTTGAATAAATAAATTAATAGAATCATTAACCCGATAAGCTTGATAACGTCAGATAATTTCAGATTAGATTTATTGGTCATTGACTTATGAAAATAGAAGTTAACGATATAAATATTACAAGTATCAACATAAATATGTCATTTCGACTTTTATTATTTATAAATATCATAAAATCTTTTTAAAATATTAAACAACGCAATATCCAACAGATATATCAATGTTTTTGGAAGACTTTCTAATTTTCTTTTTGCAGCATGATAGATATGAGAAATTAATTTAAATCGTAAAGTTTCTCGTGACGTATCGCGCCAATATCTTTCACTTTGAAAAGCCCAAAGTTTCTAATCCCATAAATATCGATGAAATGCGATGAGTTATTATCGCGGATGATAAATATTCATCGTCAATCATTTCGTCGCCGAGCGCGCGAAGACAAAACAGCGGAATGAAATACCCGCGTAATGAAACCACAGCGTCCGCCCGCATTGCTCCGTTTGTCATTTTTTTCTCTCTCTTGTGGGTAGCAAACGCAACTTCCGAGGGAACGATCAACACTCGCGGTCGCATCGTGCTGTTCGACGATACCGCTTCGTGACCGTAAAACAAATCGCCATGCGAAATCGTGTCACCGCAAAATACCGTCGCTCACATTTTTTACCTTTTTCACTGACACATGTCGTTACGTCGATAGTTTTTTTCTCCCTTCTTCTCTCGTTCGACCACACACATTCGCGGATGGAAATATCTGGCCAGCGTAATCTCGCGTCACGGTCTTACGCACAAGTGTGCCGCACTTTGTAGACGACCTCGTAGAAACGAAGGTGGCGATGCCACCGAGTTGGCGAGTAGCAGCGAGAGCGATGATAGTTCTCTATAGTAAAATTACTTCCTTCGCTTCGCGTGATGTCTCTCGATATTCGCATTGTCATCCGAATTTCCGCTCCACTGACCATTGTGTGTCGTAATCGCGAGCCTGAATCTTCCATTCCGAAGATTTCTCCTCGTCATCTCACCGCCGCCGGGAGCTCTCAAGAGTTAGCAATGTTAACATCCCGATAGAATGCTTTTCGCCTTCACCTTGCCTTTGCTGATGTGAGTAGAGATGGGACTGTCGCTTACAACGCGAACACTGAATCGAGATTACATATAATTTTACGTAAACAAGTTCTTTCCATGTGTTTCGTGCTTTTAACGTTTAATTTTATTATTGCGTGACGATGATATACATGACAAATTTTCGAGGAAGATATAATCACTAAAATTGAACCGCGTTTCAAAGAAACAATTAACGTGTTAATAACGGAAATATATAATTATGTGAATTATCACGTGTAAAATTGAAAAGGAAACTAATTCACAAGCTGGCCTTTAACGCAGTTTGTAAATAAATGGTAAAGTTCTTCCATTATTGTTTTTAATTCTAAATTTCTAAATTTCTAATTCTAATTATAGAAAACAAAAAAATCAATAAATGCATTCAGTAAAAACTAATTTTAGAACGGAATACTATTGTATTTTGTTCTACAATTTCTGTATTTGGTTGTTTTATATTTGACATCTCATTGAGCATTTCAAATATAACAAAAAGACAAAGATTAAAGTGGGAAACTTAAAAATCTTATAATTTATATGTTTATGTAAAATTTCTTTTTTTACAGAACACTTGTCTAAAATATTACCACTTATTTCAAATCTATTTTGTAGATTTTAATTACGCTTTACACAAAATCACGCTTTGCATTTGCTATGTCCTTTGTCAATTGGTAAGAGTCAAATAATTAAATAAAATTCAATAGTCTAAGATATAGTCTATAATAGTCTAAGATATAAAATGTATTATTGTTATACTTTGTAAATTGACATTGAAATCATATTATATGTTTCGGCGTTTAAATTGAGCCAGATATAAAAAAATTTCACGCAGTAGTATTGATAAAATGATAACGACAATAACGTGAAAATATATATATTATATATAAGATGAGACCCGATGAATATTTTATAGAGGAACCGAAATCGCTCGTAAACGGTTGATGGAAATTTCTTTATGTTATAATAAATGAAGTTATAAATTAAAGTTATTTAACTATAGACTTTTGCTAAGCAAGCAAAACGTTAAACCCCGATAAAAGATTGATGGCTCAATCTAGACGCCGAAACATGGTAATATAGTTTCAATTTCAATTTACAGAGTATAATACATTTTATGTCTTAGACTATTATATTGAATTTTATTTAATTATTTGTCTCTTGCACGCCCTTTCTAATTTTGATTTTTGTTTTTGTACATTAAGAGTTCTTTATTCTTGTTTAATTGTCAATTTGCATTTATTGATACGACTTCTGCGACCTATTCTTAGGTCAACTGAGATCGATGGTTGTTTATTAGATGGCTAATCAACAAAGTAAATTATTCTGAAGGCACGCGACCGCATTTGATAAGAATCAGAAGCAAGAAAGCGTGTGCGTCTATAAAAAAAATCATAAATAGTCCGCGCGTTTACCTTCTTTTAATGAACGTTATTAATTAAAAGTGCTGTCAATCTGCCGCGTTTCGTGACCGAGCTTGCGCCATTAGCCTGTCTTTCCACACGTACTTTCTGCGATACGATCATTATTTCATATTTCGCCGAATAAATGTTCTCATCATTGCATTGCGAGTTTCGGTCCATCGATTACGTTTCGTTTGCGGCAATGTGTTATTGCATTACGATCGTAAGATAATAACCCGGCCATTCGGAATTATATGTCGAAATGATCCACGGCATGCATCAACAAAAAGACATTAAATCACTGCACGTCCCGTCTGATATCGATTATTGCATCGTAAAAAGATGCTGTTGTAATCAAAAAGTTTCAGAATCCCGATCTTAGAGCCGAAAAATCGCCGATCTCGAGATTCCTGTCCGTTAATCTACAAAACGTATATTGCCTTCGCACAATTAGCTTGTTCCGTTCCGATAAACTGCACGCGCAGTGTTCGATTTTAAAGTTAAACCGAGCGGCCAGCTGATTCGCCTTGACTTTGCACCAGCGAAAGAAAACCATGCGAAAAGAGACTCGGCGGAAAGCGACCGTGGCGGCGCGGCGGCTCACCTTGTCTTTGACGGAAATCTCGCAGCGAACGAACTCGGTATTGCTCTGATCGTGCTGACATTCGAGGTAACCTTTATCCGAACGATTAACTCGAGAGGCAGCTAGTAATTGCAGCTCCGTAATTGTGCTCGAAAAATGATGATCTCCTCGACGCGTTTGATCATCGAGAGATATCGGACATAAATCGGCTATAACGTGATTTCATCAAAAGATTTACGTAAGGATATCGCGAGGAAGAAAGAAATTGGGACCTGATGATTTATCTCCCCTCCTCTTTTACTCCATCTTTTTTTGCGTTTGCGTAAGAACCACATAAAATTCATGATGCGATAACGGATTTTCGAAGCGAACGCACGGCGGTTTACGTCATCCTAATCCAATGAGAGTCCTTGCAACTCTCTTCATTAATTTGATTGTGCTTATTTGTCTTACGACATCACGGAGCGCGATAGATTAGTGATTGAACACGCGATGTAGCTATTAAGTTAGAATGGAAAATCGCGGTGATAATAATGACCACTGAAGCAAATAAAAGTATTCTCAATAAGAAGCAGATAAAGAATAGAAGATTAACGAAAAAGAAAAACTTTTTCATAATGGATCCAATTTTTATCAAAAATCTGGTTTCTGGCCGGCTACGAAACGCGTGTCAGGCCGACGGAATGAAAATGTTAAGTAGCATATTTGCTTGTAAATATCTGACAGAGGTGCTATTTAGAGAAATGTATAGGGTCATAAATTTCTGTGGCTTACGGTGGAAATTGTACATTGGAAACGTGGTCGGCGATCGATCAACCATAAAAATTGTCACGCACCTTCGTCACGGACGATATAACTTCACAGATCAGAAAGAGAGAGCGTACAAGTCGACAAATAGGCAAAGGGATATAATTCCAAGGTTTTACAGCGCGCAATTTTCAACGGAGACGCATGGTCATGCGTTCAACATTCTGCTTGCTCTTAAAATCTGTCTTGATCATTTAAAGCCTATACTTAGCGTTGTTATGTGGATAGTATCATTATTTAGCACTTGACAGTCTTGATCGGCGCGATACACCGATAATTATCATAATAACGGTTATTTTTCGGACAGTCGTAATGGTCGAAATTACTCCCGCGATGATCGCTTGTTACGTTATGAAGAGCAAGTTTCATCAAACAGCTGTTACTTCGTGAGAATCCGAGTGATTAAACGCTACGCGAAAGCACTCTTATTTTGTTATAATTAGTAACCGACGGTTTATACGATGGAACCAGCGAAAAATGTCATTCTTGACTCTTTAGTGTGTATCTTTCGTACGTATCTATGTAAATCATTGCAATACTGGACGTGTGAATGTTCATTAGGAAAGATTCTCTCTTAGTTAAGCGTGATATCGCGTTGCGATTTACAAGAAGCAGTTTCTGCATTGTTTTGTAATGCAGTTAAAAATGTAAGATTAAACATCTGAGTTAGGACTACTTTTCTTCTTAGGTTACGCTTCTTTTACACAACAATTTTCACAGCCTTATATAATGTAAGAATTAAAACGAGAGGTTCTCGTTTCGCTTTTAGGAATTTCCATAAAATTGATTTCAACATTGAATTTTTCTATTGTTATTATAATATTACAATTATCATCCCGTTTAGGAAATTTTTTTGTGTAAAGGAAAGATCTTAAGTTTATTATTAAGAAACATATACTAATCGCTATTTACTTATTTATTAAAAACATAGAGACACTCTTAAAATTCGATGTGAACTTCACTAACATATTTTTATGATAATTACAAATTAAAAAATTCTAATTGCAGATTGTTCTAGTCGTATTTGTCATGGCCGTCCTGGCGAGTGTCTCGGCGCAGGATTTCAGACATTTTTTCGCGGGATTTGGTCCTTATGGCATTCAAGCCTCAGTAATGAGGGATCCGAGATCGAATAGGGGTAAGTTTTTATTTTTAGTAACAATTTAGTGTATAACATAAGATTATATTATACACTGTTAAATCTGTAGTATCTGTGTTTAAAGTTAACTTAATTCAAGTCGCCATTGCTTCTATTCAATGATCATTATTTCATATTATTAAATCAATGATTATAATTAGTCAAAATTGCTAAAGGAAGACTAGTTGCTAATGATTAATGTCTTTAATATCCAATTTAATATACAAACGTTTCAACTTTCATTAGGTCATCCACAGTATAATATAAAGATTAAACTAATTGAAAATAAAATTAAAAATAAAAAAAGGATCGCAATATCGGTTACATAATAGTTAATTATTTAAATATAACACGTTTATAATGTCATTAATTAAAATTTATAATTGTTATAATTGTCATATAGTGTCAATTTGACGCTGCACTGAGAAAAATGTTTGATTGACAATAAATGAGAAGATTCTGATTAAATCAATCAGGATTCCGCTTATCTCGACTAAAATTTTAGTAGATTTAACCAGAAAATTTTCTTATAGTTTTAAATTTAACTATTGTTTTGATCTAAAATAATATATTGAGTAGGAGCAGTGGTCACTTAAATTAGATTAAATTTGATATTGTATGTTTAACAATAGTTAAAAGAATGATGGATTTGACTGAAACAGTAGATAACAAAACATTGATGTACAATAATATTTATTATTACAATCAAATATGCATTACATCGTTGATATTTATTATAAAATAAAATTTTTTAAATAAAATTATAAAATTGCAAATTAACCATTTGACAAATTAATTGAACATAGGTTTGTAGTATCGCTTATAAGATTTCCTGAAATGACTCTTGCACTCTTATAACTACGCCTACTTCAATTTACATAATCCGAAGATGATTTATCGGTATATTATTACTGTGCCTGACGGCTTACTATAAAACAATTATGCTTTCCTTTTTTGTTCATACGCTATTATTAGATGTTTCGAAGTGCTCAGTGATTTATGGTATGCTTCGGAAGTGTTCGTTCTTGTATATCCTCCACATTATCAGGAAGCTGGGAATCGTGCAATTACGATAATTTGTTCTTTTATTTTCTTCTATTTGTATACCCCCGCGAAAAAACGGCCTCGTTTCATCCGCAAATAATGGTAGGCATTCTAATATCGTTCGCTAGAATTCCTCAATCGTTCGAAAGTTCTTCCTCAATGTGATAGGTTCTTGGAAACAAAGTCTCATTTACGATTGAAAGATGTAACAAGGTATAATCGCAACAATTATTATTTCACGTATTGCTATAAAAATCTTATAATGCGATATATATATATGGGGAAGCGTACAATTTTATAAAAAATTAAATATTTTTAACAATTTTAATAATTTCTGTTCAGAAATTTAGTAGATAAGATATTAATGTGTAGTTCTACGGAAATATTTGAGGAAAATTAATAGCTGTAGCTTATTATCCGCAACTATTTATATAATGTTCTGGGCACGATTGACAATATAACAATCGTTTTTATGATGGTTTGTGTCCGTTCAGCCGTAAAGATCTCAGATATAAAAGGAATGCTCTTTGAAGTGCGCTGTCGTATAATCAAACAACTGATTGCGATCGAGAGGAACGAGTCTGAATCGAATCGTGTAATGTCTTGTTATTGATGCAGAATCTATCCTGCTCTTAGATAGTATAGATAGTATAACTTTTACCGGAACAACGCAGCTAACTAGAAATTTACCTGAAGCACATGCGTGTAACGGAAGGAAAGCCAAGCCATTTGATTTTATATGTAAACTTCGTAATTTAAATTATAGTAAAATTTCTCAATGCATTACGATAATGTCAGTGCATTTCTTTCGATTACTACGCCGTAATATTTTTGTAATATTTATGTATTTAAAAAAACATTACATGAGAATAAGCTTTTGTCGATTTTGAAATTCATTATAATATCGTTGTAAAATCATTTTATAAACCAACCAACGTAAAAGAATGTAACTATTCCAGATTATGATATCATACTGACGCTGTTACATCTAAAGTTGCTCGAATAGCTCAAACTACATTATTTAAATGGCTTGCGCAGGATACGTGATCCTTGCCAACCTGTTCGAGCGATAGTATGCGCATAATAAACGACTCTGGAATGAGTGTCAAGTTCAAATTCACATACAATAAATAATGCGTTATATATTGTATATGTCTGACGGAATACTAAGCAAGTAACCCATGCAGCATAAATCTTAATCTGCGAAAAACAAGCTATTTTAATTTTTATATAGAAAATTCTAAGAGAATTTAAAATACAAAAATATATTTATTATACATTTATATTTTTTATTTATCTCGTACATTAAATTATTACATTTTTCTTGGTACTGATATATTCCGAAATAAATTTTACTTATTGCGATATTAAATAATTAATGCTTCTAATTTATTTTCTGCTCTCATACTTTTTTTTTTCATTGTTTTCATTTAAGATTATCGCTTAGAAAGTGATTATCGGGATAACATGAAAAACTTACATCAGTCAAACAGATCATTCGTTTTTTTACTACTAAATATTTATAGTGATTATTCACGGAAGATATGCTCGAGTATTTTGTTATTATCGCAAATAATAGCAGAAGACTACTAGACGAAAACTGACGTTTATTACCCGAATGCTAAGATCATCAAAAAAATTATCTTAATAAATCTAGATAGTATCTGTGCCCATATAATGCCATGTCAGTAGATCTATTAATAATACGGCATATGATCCACTTCCTCGTGTTAGAAAGGATTTCCACTACTCCTTCGTAGATAAGTGCAACTTTCCTTTAATCCCACGTAACATACACTGTAGTGCTATTAGCAGTTGCAGTTTGTTAAATAATATATATATGTGCGCACGGTGAAAACGAAAACAATTTGGAAACAATTTTTATTTAAAAATTTCTTATTTATTTTTCTAAATTTTAGATATTGATAAAATTACTATTGCTATAAATGTAATTAGTAACACAAAAATTTAAATATTGCTGCACTAATTACTATGAGCGACAAATAGTTTAATCAGAGATATGTATTTGTTCAAGAATTTTATCGTTAAATTTACAAAAAAAATGAATAAAAATATAAAGAGGTATTTATTTTCTATAAACACACATTATGAATAAAACTCTTTAGTCAAAGTTTTTTTGCAAAGTTAATTGAAAATCCTTCGCTGTTTACTATTACATTTAATGATTCTGTTTACTATGTGCGATCAACCGTTGCATCGTTTTCTTCGCCAATGACCATGAAAGTCAAATGATCTTTGTAACTGTTGTGAGCATCCAATCAACTCAATCTCGTTAAACGATGTCGGTAACGATCATATAAATCCTGTATATTTCTGTTTTAATATAGAATATATAGATCACTAGAGATTAATAAATTCACGACAGAATATTTAAGTACGCTATTCGACTACAGTATTTGGTTATAAATTATTGAACGTTGATATTACTAAAACATTGACTAAGGCCGATATTCATAGATTTTATATTCAAGATCGTCTTAGTATAGTCTTAAGAAATCATGAACCAATCAGAAGGCCATATTAGCGTTTTAGAACATTACTTAAGATACCTTGAAATAAGAACGAACTATGAATATCATCCTAAGATCTTTTCGCTAAGATTATTTCAAGGATATCGAACGCTTTTCTTCTTATATAATTCAAGATTGCCCTAAAAGTTTTGACATATCTATTGACTAGCTGGAAATATAAGAATAAAATGGAATTTGTATTTTTGATATCGAGACGAACAATCGTGAGAACAAACGCAGCCTTTAAAATGAGATTACGTGATAATGCGTTTTAACATGCGTTTCTCCTTTCGTAGGTCCGGTATTATTCCCACCTGGGCCGGCTCCCAACAATGCTGACACCAGCGGCGTCGTCGTGGGCGCGAGTGGATACGGATTCGTGCCACCCAGCACAGGTAATTCGTTCGGCTTCTGAGAATCAAAAGAAATCCCGTTGTACCCCCGTCCTCTCTAAAAAAAAAAAGAGAAAAAAAATAGACGAAAGGGATCGGTGGTGGAATACAAGCCGGCGAGCCTTTATGTGACCAGTCTCTGCATGTAAAACAACCCAAAGAGTCGTCAAGGATAACGGAGTAGAAAATGGATAGACAGATAGAAGGAGAGAAAGTAATATATCTTATCACACGCAATACCTCGTTCCTCTGCACTCAACTTATGTATGAACACTATTTATTATTGTCACTTATGAAATAACATAGTCTACAAATTTCCCCAATACCCGAATTTTAATTACATATCGAGGATGCATGTTCAAGTGCGTTGTGCATGTACGGCACTATGACGTATTTATTGTTTTACGAGATGTTCGAAAAGTCATGCGTGATGATACGCATATTAACACTTTAAATCCAGCAATGGTATTATATGATAAAGAAATATATTTTACGTGACTATAGTGTGTGAAGTATAAAGAGCATGTCAATTAATTATGCAATTTTTTCAAAAGTCGCTCGAAAAAAATATTACATATATTATGATAATATTGCTGGTTTATTAACATTGTAAATGTAAAAAGCGTTAATATTTATGTCAATGAATCATAACTTAAAGCGATATCGAATCTTGCAATATTGCATTTTGATACGCAATATATTAAAATAATGAACGTGATTGCAAGCTACGTGAAAGTTCGGACATTCTTATAATTGTTAAGTTACGTTGTACATAAATACGCTGTAAATTAATAAAAAAAAAAGAACCCTCAGTATATAATCGTAAATCTGACGTACGCATAAGCGTCAATAAGTGTAATTTTTGATCTCCTTTCTTATTATATGTAAAAATTGGCTTATTAAAAGATGTGCGAGTTACTCGATCCTCAGACTGCAGTGTCGAATACACCGCTGCTCTGAAAATTGGCGGAAACCGCAAAAATTCTCTTTCCTATTATCTTTGTTTCGTCTCTGTTCTCGCGAAGGTCGATTTCTTACCGGCCCGACATTTGATCCTTGAATCATCATTTTGCGAGCGTGCTAATGATATTCTGTCGTTCATGTCGAGGACGACAATCAGCTTTTCTCATTACGTACATCCCGGGAAGTTGTACGTTGAGAGAGCATTACGAATGGACGGCTGCGATTGCGAGCATGTTATAAGGCTTAAACTTTCAACGTCTCGCTCGTCTCGCTTGCTTTCCGTCGCGATTCTTTTCGAATTGGACGATCAATTCGAGGATCGAGAGCCGCGACAGCGAGAAGCGATATACTAATATGTGGTACGCGGGTCCTTTAGCTAAGTAATGTGCACCGCAGCATGTCTGGTGACAGAAAATGCACTAGCAGATAGTTATCGTAATCTCCTGTACTGCGCAAGGTAAGTCCATGTAGAAAAAAAGTATATTTAATATCCGTAATGCGTTGTTGGTTTGTCATAATTGGTCTCTGCAAAATGTTGTAGTGAACGTTCAATAAATGTTTTCCTTTTTTCTCTATAATTACACGGCGTTGAGCATGAATCATTTTTTTCGATATAATAAAGACTTTCGCCAGATCGTTATCTTATTAACCTTGTCAGCGATATCCAACAAGCCGCTTTACCGGTCACTCACGAAGCGAGAGTCAGAAAGCGAGATCCTGCAGGATCCTGCACCTGCCCGGTCTCAAAATCGGGTCCGAAACGTAGAACCATGGAACGAATCTTCTTGCGTAATCGGATCCCCTCGATTTCCGCGATGTAATATGCGAGGAACAACGTGTCTCTTCCGGTAATTTGAGCGTACACTCGGCTTTCATTTCACGCGCCGTCCTTCGCACTTGCGCTCGGCCGCACGGTAGACTCATCAAGTGGCATAACGAGATGTAACGAGAAAAAAAGACAGAGGGAAAGAGAGAGCAAGAAAAGAGAAGATCACTAACCGAGGAGATGGAACTTGTACTTCCTCCTTCCGCGAAATGTAGACATACACAACTGTATTACCGGTTTCCTCGCGCAGAGAATCTTCAGCCTTGGAACACAAGCACGAGGAGGTCCGCGATGGTTCGGTGAAAGCAATTTCGATGAGGCTGCTTGGCCTCGTGGCGGTTTGCAAACTCGTTTTATGCGTAACCTTATTTAAGTTACTCCATTGCGCGTAACAGGTGTTACGAGGTCGTCAATGTGACAAGGTTGCCTTTTTGGTCAGCGATGCAGACATCGAAAGAGAGACAGAGATGGAGAAGTGAAGATCAACGCTCTCTCGATCCTCGGCCTTTGATCAAAACTGATCGGTCACGCACGGTCAAGTTCAATCAATTTTTTTCCTTTCGATCATGCGAATTAATTCTTGATCGTTTCTCGTCTTACAAAAAAAAAAAACATGAATTTGTTAAGTTAAATGATTTGCAAATTTCTGAGATATAATTTATTCGGAATTCTTTTTTTCAAATACGGCGAAAGTCGTCAAAGTATATAGCACGCATAAAAACGGAATATATCTTTCTTGACGATGAGAGGAATTATATAAGACGTTCCTGCAACATCATTGGAGAATTCAGCGTCAAGAAATATTTATTGGAGAGTGACAAAATGATTGGAAGAGTCGAATTTGGTGTTACGAGAGTAATCATAAAATTTTATTTCTCTTCGCGATTAACGGTAGATGTTGCCACTTTTTAAAAATAGAACGGGGGATCGCAATTTTATTTCGTTAACCAGAGCTGTCTCTTGACAAATCAATGCTATCTAAGAATGTCAATTGTCATCAAGCTCGTAATAAATGAAAGGAGCAAGAACTTTCGTTCGCATAATTTATGCAAAATTTAATATAAGAAATAAGAAGGAATGCATACGTGATAATGCATTAGTGATATCGATTTTAAAAAGAAAATCGATTCTTAACAATCGATTAATTAAATAAGAAGAATCGATTCTGAATAAAAAAGAATCGATTCTTTCGATTTTGTTTTTTACTTAATTTGTAAATAAAATTAAAATGGATATAATATTAATAAAATTTATAGACGAGATACAATAATTGAATTCACAAATTTCATAAAACATCATTAGTATTTATTAGTTTATGGCTTAAAAACTCTTCATTTAATAACACATTATATTATATCTCTGGAAAAATTGGATCGATTCCGAAAGAGAGAATCAAGAAATAAAAAATTGATTTAAAATCGATTTGTCAAGAGCAAAAAGAATCGATTTTCAATGCATCGATTTAAGAATCGACAACACTATAATATATTTCAATGCTCGATATTAGCTTGATGCAATAAAGCTTTGTTCGAAGCTTTTTAGGATAAAAATTTAGGATAAAAATTCATAATCGCTCTTGTGAATATACACTTTTTGTTTTTGATATTTTTTGTACTAGCCCAGTTGAGAAAATGTACGATTGAATAAAAAATATAGTATCCCACAGTGCCGTGCGCACATTTTACATAACTCTATAAAAGATAGCGGGGTAGAGAAGAAAGGTATCGGTAACGGTATTAAAATACTCGCGTACGACGCAAAAGAAGTGAATGGCGGGCGAATAAATTCTTTCTGTGGAGAAACATGCGCCGCGGATATCGGGGGAAAGCCTGTACATCTCGCACTTTATAACATTTTGCATTTGTTAATGCGCGCCACTTGGCACGAGAGAGAAAACGTAAGTCTCAGGCAACTGTGTTGTGATTAACCTCGTGGCACGCTGGAGAACGAGATACGTTAAGTCCAAAAATAAGACCTCGTCTGAATTAAGGTTGTAGTTCAGGGAAGCGCAGTTGCTTTATCGGGATTTTGAAGATGAAATAGCGATTAGCACAGATAATAAATGCGAAGTACAATTTAATTTTTTTTTTCTCTGGGAAATAAAACCTCTCGATCGCCGAGGCACATTTTTACGTTAACGGCGTTGATAAAATTGAAGAAGCAAGATTGATGCAACTCGCAAGCGTGACTTCTGTTTGATGACGGACAATACTTTCACAATAGTTCCTATCTCGCGAGAGATAAAAATTCGCGATAAAAAGGCGATAAAAATTGATGAATTACAGATGAAGATATTTGTGTGCGCGAATATCTTTATCTGTAATTTATCAATTAGGAACGATCATATCTCATGCTAATAACTAGTCGTCGTGAGTTTTGATGCAACTAAATACAGCAACATAAAGATGATAGCATTCTAGATCAAGCAGCTATTCGTTCCCCTTGATAGTCATTAAAACCTGACGATCCACATTTAATTACGCAACACGCAAAAACTGTTGACCCCTCTGGACGTCCTTGGCGAAAATTTATCTGGGGTTGAAAGGAGGAGGGTGTGCAAAACAAATTTTCCCCGAAACTCGTAGTTCGGTTTTCCCTGTGGGAACGAACTCTCGTAATATCTCTCGATATCTCCGGTAAATACTTTTTTCACGGAGCATTAATTTGGACGAGAAGACGTCCGCAGGGAGAAAGATGCCTGAAAGGAGTTTTTAATGACGCGGTATAAAGCGTTCCAGTACATTTCACTCACCAACCAAAGCAGGTTATATCGATATGATTCTATAGGCAATGACATGCTGCTGTTTCAAAAATTAAATGCATTTGATATTTGAAGTAAAATTGAGCCAACGCTCCAAAATCGATTTCTAAGGGTTAAAAACTTAAAACGTAAAACAGTAAAACGTAAACAGTAGCAAACCCAATATATTGATTTCCTTATTGCTTATGTTTTGCTTAAATTTTTCTGTGTGTCATGATTCTTAGCAACATCGATCTTAAAATATACGTTTCGATGCCAAGTTGGATATTTTCAAGTTGGACTTAGCCGCTGTCACTGACAATTATTTTTCTGTTCATCATTAGGGCGTTCTCGCTTTTAAATTGATTATAATCCGAATGGAGGCGGAATCCTTTTGGGAGCTCTAATGGCTTCCATTCGGATCCCCCATTCATTTCGCGGTCGACTTTATTATCGAAGCTGCGTACGATCTTGCTAAAGCACACGTGTGCTACGCGCAAAACCAAGAGAAACGTGCACTAGGGGACTGGAAAAGCGAGCACTTACTAATCAAAGGGTGGAAGACGTAGGGGATGAGGTCAGTTCTACCCGCCTTCGACGGGTGGAACAAGGTGACGAGGGTTCTGTAATTAGCAGCTTTGAAGTGGTATCACCCTCGCTACTCATTAGCGACGTTCAAGTACTCCGAATGTTAGCACTCCGAGGGATACTTTTGACAGTAGAATCACAGATGGAAATTACACGAACCGTTGAATGGATCTCGTGCTGATGAATCCGAGGATTCTCAGAAATCATCGTTGAATAATGACGTCCGAAGGATGAGAAGGATAGAGGAAATATGGAAGAGAAAAAAAGAAAAAAGATTAAAATTTGATTGAACGAGGGAAATTAGAAAAGCGGTTTTTATCGCAATATATATCTCGATGATGACGAAGAATCAGCCACAATCCGCTGACGTCTCGGAAACGAAGGCGACTGGAAGTACAGGAATTAATTTTCTTTGCTTCATCTACCTGTGCTTCTACAAGTGCAACAAAAATGGACGAATTGGAATAACCGTTATTATAAATTTACAGCGCATAATGTAAAACTCTTTAATGTTAGATATTAAATATGTGTCCGCACTATAAATTTCACTATAAATTTATAAAGAGAAAATCTTTCAAGTTTTTAAACTCTTCGCCGGCAATTGGAATCTTTGAAGACACCATTGATATTTTTAATTTTGGTAAATAAATTTAAATATGTAAAAAATAAGTAAAACATAATCTGACTTTTATGATGATAAATTCATTCATTGTTAAAACTTTGACAAGAATATATTATACTAAAATTTTTTTTTAGATTTTTATATAATCCGGAATAATGAATAATTTGCTTCGTTTTTCGAAAACTCCTATTGTTGATGAGAGTTAAAAATGTAAAGGCGAAGAGTTAAATGATCATCGAAATATCTTGCAACGATCAATCCTTCCGTATGTCAATTCAAAATGTTCAGCTTTCAAGAATAAGTTTTTCGTTTGTTACAGGTTATTATACCTATTTCTACTACTAGACATCCAGTAATCGCGAGACTGCAACGAAGACGACAACAAAAGAAAATGGTCAAGGTTTTGGATGTCACGGCTCGCAGATTCTAACTGGACATTATGGTAGACTAATAGATCAATATTACATGGTGGTGCGTGTCCACTGAAGGAAAGACGAGCCTTAAAATAGTTCTTTTCTTCTTTTTTTCTATTTAATAATAGTCTCTCCTCCGTGATTGGTGGCGTGGGAGTACGCCTACTTCCCGTGAACTTTGCTAAATTGCGTAAAGTTCGCAGGGTAAAGGAGAGCTATTAGCGCAGTGTACAAATAGAGAAATACGTGCGATTATTATAAGATTTCTTTTCTAAAAGCGTCAAGTTTCTTCTTGAGGCATAGCATAGTGCACGAAATATTTTAAGATAAAAATTCAATAGCTTAGTAAATTAAATCCTTTTATTTCCTTATCTCTTTCAATTAAGGATCACTCGAGACGCACCCTTAAAAACGCCAACGAGACCGATAGTTAGCAACTAAATATCGGCTATATCGACATTGATATTACGCCACTTACTAGTTTCGATATCTAGTGCGATAATTCCGTATACAAGCAACGAGAACGTCTGCATAATGAAGTCTACGAAAGTACAAGTTGTATTTTATGGTGCATTAGTACGGGTATTCGCGCCTCCGCGTGGCGGTAATGCTGAGGCGTGTATAATTAGTAGCAGCCAGAAAGGACCGTGCACTCCTGACAGTGCGATCCTAGAACAAAAGCGAGCGGGACTGAATAGTGAATCCGCTCCGTGCCTTACAGTCGAGAGATATCCGCTTATGAAACAAGATCTGGTAAATAGAAGTAGGTCCGGCGCGCGCACACCGTTGGATCCGCTGAAAATGATTAAATGGCGGTGGTATATTTCGTGCCGACTGATAAATTATTTTTCACGACCGCGATGGCAATTTAATTAAGTGTACACTCTAAATCTGTAGCAGTGAAATTTCACTGCATTGAATTGAAATTTCATTGTAGGGGTTAATGGCAATTGATTCAATGCTGCCAGTGAATTTTATCGCAAGGTAGTAGTGAAGATTAGAATAGATAGAAGGAAGTTAGAATAGACAGAATAATGTCATTCCAATGGACAGGGTAATTCCGGCAAATACGTCACGCTGGGATTTACGTCGTAGAGGTCAGAAAAAAATAGAAGAAGTGGGGGTAATTTTTCTACAACTACTCTCTGTTGCATGCCTTTATATTATATTAGTATTGTGTTATGATTTCAGTTTCTTATTGTCAATATTAATGAAATTATTGTGAATTGAATTTATCACTGTAATAAGTGGCGTCATCATAAATTATATTACATAAAATGATTGTTGTAAATGACTTAGTGAATTATTTCGTGATACATAAGTGTAAAGAAATAATAAAGCATGTTGTATAGCAAAATACAAGTGCTTTGCTCTTGTATTCTTTGTTTAGTTTATTGTCTTGTATATCTCACCTATTTGAGATATTTTTAGCTGACGGGATTTATACCCAAAGCATACAAACTGCTCAAATTGGATTCAGTACACTAAATGCAATAAACACATTACATGAAATAATAACACTTCATGTAATAACACTTGTAATATATGTACGAAGATCGTAATTATTATCTATTACTTCATATACATATTTATTATTCTTATTCTTAATAAAACTTTGTAAACATATTTTATAAATTATTGTCATTTTACGTCTTATTCATAAGCATTATTTGTAAATTTTTTATAAACCGTAACATACCTCCCTCCCCCTATAAGTAGCCAAATATCTCACCCTTATGGGATATATGGCAAAAATGCAAGGGTTTCAAAAAGTTCTTTTTTTAATATGAAAAATAGGTATTTCAGATTTCTAATTTTTTTTTCATTAGTAAATACAATCAAGTACTTCTGAGTTTTTTCGTAGACAGTACAAAGTTTTTACTGATATAATTTATTTTTTTTTTAAATAATAAATAATACTTAATAAATTAAGTTTTTGTTAGATGCGGCGTATATACCGGAGTTACTCTAATCAATTAAGATGTATCTGATCCTAATGACCATAGCAAATGACATAGCACACTTAGCAGTGCTAAATTCACTCCTTGCAGTAACATTCCATCTTACATTGCATTATCAACTAATGCTTACATCATTTCGATTGATCGAGTGAAAAATTTCACTCCTTACCTAAGAGTAGACAGATTAATTTCAAAATAAAAATCCATAAAACAATGACTTTGCTACTCAATTTCGTTAGTAGTGTAATTTTCATTGCTACAGATTTAGAGTGTAGCTGTTTTCGAGCAAACAACCCTTTACGATTTGCCAGTTTCGTGTTTTGTTAATGCTCCGCGTCATTTAGCTACTTGATGCGTGACTTAATATAAATAATATATTTATATGTAAATATGATAGAGAGAGAGAACAAGGAAGCGTGGTATGTGAGGCCACGAATCAATAGCGGGGTGCCGCCGTCGCTTTCGTTTCTGTGCAATTCGGTCATGGTTCTTTAAGCGCGAAAGATACGTTCTACGTTAGTGCATTTAAATGCCCGGCTTGTCGGCTAATCTGTTCCGCACGCGTCCGGTTTTAATCGCACATGTGGTAAAAAATACACACCTGATATGAGTCCGCAGCTTCATTGATCCGTGGCCGAAAAACACCCACATTCCGGTTGATTGGCTCGCTCTTACATAATTTTCGCATGTCATAGTCGATTTTAGATTTTTTTAATATAAGTTTTTATATAACAAGCGTGTAAATATTACTTAACCTATGGAAGTGAAATAAAATTATTATCTATAAATCAATAGTTTTGTTTTACCTCAAATTTGCTATGAAAATTTTACACATATTATTTAAGTTTTTATTTACGTATTATTAGTTTTAATTCAATAGGTAAATTAATTGATTAAGGAAATGAAACATAATACGTTAGAAGATTAGAAAATACTTTGAAGATAAATCATTGTATGAATATTAAAAATTTTTTTCTTCCTTTTTTCTTAAAACGGTTCAGGAAAAATCAGTTTCATTCTGTAGAAGACGTGTAATATAGTGTGTAATAAAAACATGACACACGCACATAGCACGCATAAAAAAAATGTTTATATACTGAAACTGTAATAAATTATTATATACGTATTTAAAGGTGAGTGTATATTTGTGTGTGTGCATGTGTGTGTATGTGTGTTTGTTTGTTTTTTATTACATAATTGATATTGATTATAGCAAATTAGTATTGTAGTAGATTAATTACTTTACGAGACATGATGAACTCAATATAGAGCGTAAATCGAAGCCGCGCCGGGAACACTCTCCTTTCATTGCTCAAGGAGACTTCGTCCCGGAATGAAATTTACCAATAAAATGATAAACACGACGGGCGGCGTTCTTATCCGCGACGAAATCTGCGGTGCACGACGCTCGCACGACGACGATAATTACCATTGGGCGCCATTATCCGTTCGTGTATTAGTAATTACGAAAGTTTCCTGCAACCGTTTGAGCGTACACATAATATTCAAACACATACTCGCGTTCGACTCTACGTGAGACTCTCACCCGATCTTTGCGGATGGAGAAACTGTGTCTTGTAATGTGTAACGAAAGTACATTTACGTCCAGTCGCGCATTAATGAGAAAAGCGTGAAAATTAACAGCTCAAAGCAAAATGAATAGATATATCGTGGAAATAAACGGAACATTGTTTGCGATGAAAGTCTAAAACAATTTGTCAATCAAACGATTATACAGTTGTCTAAAAATAATACAATAAACGGCTATATATATTCCTAATCTTATGCTTCATATCTCGAAACTGCAACCGGTTTTAAAATTTCTTGAGATATAAGAATGGCTCTTTATCAGAGTCTTAATAAGTTTCTATCTAGAGCTACATCCGTATGCACAATCCGCAGCTGCATGCAAAACCAGTTTCGTTTTAATCATACATGAAAGCCATGCAATTTATACAAAGTATATCGACCGTATTATTTACACTTAATAATAATTGATAATAATTGATGAATACTCGGGTGATTACTAAAGATACAATTAACCCGAGAATTCTCAGTGTTTTATATTATTTCTTAGTTTACACAGCACGTTTATCCAATAATCACAAAATGAATGTGTCACGAATAGTGGATAGACGAACGTGTATTTTCACGCACGATTCGTTAATCGTTACCAAGTAAAAATATTTCGAAATAAATAAAATGGGATATTCGCGTGGGATAAAATTGGTCAAATCTCATGAGAATATGACCGATTTTATGCATCTACATGCAAGAAATGCATGTTTAACGGAAATTAAAGAAATTGCGGTGCCGTGATTCCTCTCGTAAAACCGGTAGGATTTTCTATCTAAGGAAAGTGGTGCAAGATTTATTACGATATTACGGCATTGCGGTATGCTGATTGCATGAGATTCGTGGTGTATCATATATCCGTGCGAAGATAAGGATCTGCTAGAGTTCGCTAAGAATGCTTGCTTATTCATTCTAGAGCTAACTGGAGTCACGTGTTTGGCAGCTTAGAGATTCGAAAGCGCACGTCGAAAGAGAACGTCGATACACCGCTCGACTCGTCATATAGGAATAGAATCATCTGCAACTTCAAATGAAGTAAAATGAATTCAATGGATGAAAAAATATTTTATGGAAACTTAACGATACCATTGTTATCTCTTTCTTAAAGAAATTATTATTTAATGACGACTCACATTTTTATAAATTAATATATTAAATCGAAATAAATAAAAGATCTTATTATCTTATTATCTTAGATATGAATTCTTCTTTGTAAGTTTGATATCTAAAATAATTATTATTATTCTAATACGTATTTACATAAAGGAAAGTAACGTGCCTTAAATTATGTAAGTCAAACATTCATAGCATCGCCACGTTATCCTCAGCAGAAAATTAATGTACGCTTTACTGCACATGTAGCGCTATATTAGCACGGCACGATAAAGGAGCGCGTAATCAGTATTTATGAAATCGCAGCTCCACAAGAGCTTT